TTTAAGGACGTGTCAAGTGATGATGTAAACGAGTCTAAGCAAAGGGGTTCGAACATTGGATGAAAGTCATGGTTACGATATGCAATTGAAAAGGAATTAAGTATCTGTGTTGGAGAGCCGTGTACAAGGGAGTTACAAATTACATCTGAAAGACAAGTATCAAAGGGTGCTTACATTGTAGATCACCAATCAACTGCACTTTGGAGGATGCTGTACTATTGTAATCAATTAGTTATCGTTTAAGTAATGGAAGTGAACATTTGGTTAAGACGTTGATGCGGTATGAACCACCAGGGTGTTAAATAAACGAGGGTTTGTTTGATAATCACTTTTACATTTATGGTTATATATGACTCAGGAGAGGAGGAACTGTGTAATAAATTCCCCCAAACATGAATGTCCGGCATGTATATGCAGGACGGGGTGTAAGATGAGGAAGCGTCAACGAGCGGAGACAATGGGTTAATGGGAATAGGCAATGCGACTCCTGAGTAAAAGGAAGCTTCCAAACTAGCGAAAATTTTACGTATTTTTTTTGCTACGGTCCTTCCAATGAGGTCACCAAAACAAATCGAAAACAAATATATGTCTATTTCGTTTCGGTGTGAGGGATAGGCAAATCTCATCAAATTGAGAATCGTGCGCTTGATTAACATAACGAAATGCCATCTTGTAATGCTTTGTTTATGTGACCACCTGATGTTTGGCGGTCGCTTTAAGATTTGTCTGGTCCTGGCACTCGTGGGCCGGCCTCCGGCCTTGCTCAGGGATAGTTGCTTTGTCCTCTTTGGAAAATACGCATCTAGCTACACTTACTGCCTTCTCCCACTTTGTGCGAATTATCAGGACGCTGCACATATACCTTTGAATCCAGAGCATTAGTGACATTTTGTTCCAGTGAATAAACGAATTGGCAAAAGGTTTGGTAGACATTCTGACTGACCTCATCGTATATGAGAAGGCCAAGCGGAGGCACCTGTCGAAAGGAAATGAGCTTTTTAAACACTTGTAACAGCTTGTTAGATTGGTGTTGTACTTGGATGGTCATATTTCTTTGATAAACTCTCAAAGCTCAATCCGCTACCCATTCTCTAAAGAATGCAATCGACTCCATTATTTAATGCATATCACAAGATTTTCCATTAGGCAACAGACCTCCTAATATTTGGCTGAGTAGTTGCACTCAAACGGATCATAAAGATGTTTGCCTCTATCATCTCTATAGGTACACGGTGACTACTGAAATATATACTAGTTTGTTTAGTTATCTTTTATAGGTGAGTGGCGGGAACCAATTGGGAGCGCGAATCACGTGCGTGAAGTAGACGAGGAGTCTCCCTCCGGTTGATATCTCCAACTCACCTAATACGTATCCCATTCCCCATCCTCCCTAATAACAATGCCTTATAAATCGTCTGCAACCAACTGCCTCTTGAAGTCTGAGGATCAGGGACCAGAGGGAAAGCAGACAGCTCTTACAGCTACAAATGAGTAAAATAAATAAATAACGTTCGAGACTATGCCTTCTTTTTTTTATAATATGCCACAAGATTAGGTGGTCTTTAATGCATGCTTATGCAACACTAATGTATAGGACGTCGTTAATAATTGTATCCATGCATCTTTGAGTATAAGGTTTTAATATTTATTATTTTTCGGGGAAGTTATTATAATATCTCAACGAATTAAGAGAATGATGTACAGTGTCCTTTTAAGAATTTCGTGAATTTATTACGCAGATATGGGTCATCGAACAATAATCATACACTTGTTAATTATAGTTAATTAAGTTTAAATTGTTCTGCTCCTTAGCATTGCCCGGAGTAAGCGTGTATATTGTTGAATCAATGCTTTATTAGCCTACTGATTTGACCATATGCACATAACTCTTCTGTTCACTGGTAGCTTGTGAGTTGAAGAGTTTGCATAGAGACACACAAACAAACCTCTTACGAAAGATTCTACAATTTAGTTTGTGAGTCCGCTTTTGTATCTTTGGGTTTTGCTTTGGCGTTCGTGGTCAACTCGCTTCTTCTGGTGTGTTTGATATTACTAGCTACCCAACTGACGTCTCATGGGAACATCTCAAAAACCATCTGCATCCCAACAAAATAGTGTTGACTTACTGGAAATAAAGGATGTAAGGCCCTTGGTTTTATGTTCTGGTTTTGTTAGGCTCTTCAAAGTGATCTTGCATCCATCCGTGCCAATGCTTTGACCACTCTGGCAAACAAATCCAATCCTGATGTGACTTTTGGATCCGTTACAGCAGCCGAATTGATATTGGCCTTCTGCGCTGACAGCGATGCTCGTGTGCGAGCTGCCTCGCTTAACTGTCTTTGCACGTGGACTCAGTACGAAAAGCACAAACACGATGCAGCCACAAATAAAAGAAAATTCGAGTGGATTTCGGATCACTGGCTACAAGTATATGTACTCGCCTGTAGGCTCATAACTGAGGATTCTTCCATGGTATAGTATTTCGTCGTACTTCTTTCTCTTAGGTCCGCCAAGTCAGTTTGAGAGCAATCCACCTTTTGGGTTTGCGATTTGGTCAAAAAGAGATCGCTTCGGATGCAGTTAACCTTTTTGGCTGCGCAATTGAAAACGCCAGCTTGGATATGCGGTCAGGCTTTAAAAAAATTAATCCGATCCGTCGAAAGAGTATTAAATTGGTGGATGACGCGTTTTCACGTGTTTGTGACCGTCTGCAAGATCCTAGTCGGTACGTTCGCGAAACTGCTGCTGGACTGATAGCAGATTTGGCCAAGGTATTTCATCCCACTTGTTCCCTTAACTATTGTGTTAATGTAAGTTTGTCTCAGAGGATAGCTTGATGTTGACTTTGGAGAAGACGGTAATGACCGACCGTCAGGTCAAGCGGTCATCTGAGAGGGCCGTTATGAGTGGTGGAATCGACAAAGTTGCCCTCTGGGGCACCGTCTCAAACCCCTCACCGGCCAGAGCAAAGCGGCGTGGAGCTCAACTCCCAGCTGGTCCTATTTGCGTTGACTCGATATCACTTCTCTCCACTGGCGCTTTGGGAGCACTAATTAACGGATTGGAGGACGAGTTCCACGGTAATTGAATTAATGCAATTTCCAAAAGGGTGGGTTGATTTTCTTAGGATACGAGCATCTAAAAGCAGCATTTTTGGATGTTTCGCTGTCGGTATGTCGGTGGTCTTCCATCTGGTAGCCGACTCAAGTGAGTTTAGGTGGGTCTGCCACGTAAGCTATTCTCAAGCAGATATATTTCCTATGCTTAGAAGCTATAAGCAAATGCATTTTTGCTGTAACAGGCGCTGATTATTCTGCATGTCATTGGTCTCTTGGTAAATCTTCATATCGCAGTTTAGATCTACAAATCAATAACACTTGGGCAGTAGGCTTCTCTGTAGCTAGTAATTACAATTAAAACTGCCATTAAATTATCAGCTTAGCTATCAAAATTTAATGCTGTTTTGATCCTCACTTTATACCTTTGCACGTTTAGGCTTTGAGAAGAGATTTATTAATCTTGCATCTATACTTTTATCCGTTGGCATAGGGTATATTTGAAGCATGGTGAATGAATTCATGTCATCACTCGATTTAACGTTTTCAGAGGTTCGATGTGCCACGCTCTCAACTATAACTCAGATTGCAGCTCATAACGCGCGTTTCGCATCGCTTTGTCAGGATATTCTGGTCGATATGCTCACTGATGATATTCAAGCTGTCCGCCTTCGAGCTATCACCGCCCTACAAACCGTAGGGGATCAGGTAATTGACTGAATCTTTCGTTTCCTTGGTCATTTTTACAAACTACGAAGCTACTTTTTCCATTGCTCTTGGTCATAACTCGACCCTCTTAATCGTGCTACGTTTTATCTCAAACACGATTGTGCCATCTGTGGGATTGTGTTAGTAATTTGGGTCTCGTGAGATAAACTGCGGCTTAAGGCTTACAGATGTTCCACACAAATGATTTTTTGTCGTGGTTGCAGCATTAACGGTGCTTGTTAGTGGTGTTGACTGTATTAAACCTGTGCAATTTATCCTTTTATAATATTCGCAGCACCAGTCTCATATACGTAACGTGGGTTCCCGGTTTGCTATCTGTGCTTTTCCCCACCACTTCATGTGATACAGACTAAGGCAAAGCAATTTGGGCCTTGGCTTGGATCCAGTCAGGTCCTCTTTTCACGTATGGAAGGAGTCAAATTTCGATTCCGCCGTTTCAAAACCTACTAATCATTAATTAATTAATTAATTGTTTTTCGGTGTGTCTCAGTCAATGCATCTGTACCTACATTTTGCCCATTAAGGTGCCTTTAGTGGCGGATCAGGTGGGAATAGTGACCTCAGCACTAGCGGAAGACAACGCAATGATTCGCCAACGCATATACAGCCTCCTCTCGCGTTGTCGTTTGATCTCACCTCCTTGCCTTCTCTCTCTTCTTGACGGTCTGTTGGCTACTTTGTGCCAATATCCACGAGACAGGGATTCC